TTGCGAAATATATTAGTTCAACTTATTATAATATTATTTTTACCTACTGCCCGATGCTTCGGATGCTTTGCTTTAAGAATTAAGCCTCCGCGTGATAGCTGCTGCATAGCATCACGTTTTAAACCGTTAAGTGTTTATTTTAAATTGTATTTTATGTTTTGAACAGTTGACGATGTCCGGAGTGACTACATGTCTGCGTTTTCCGGGACAGTTGAATGCGGATTTGAGAAAACTAGCGGTCAATATGGTGCCGTTTCCGAGGTTACACTTCTTTATGCCTGGTAAGAAGTACTATTGGAATAAGAGAAAAAATCAAGGTCATGTAAGCCAATCAAAGCTAAAGCAATATTACAAATCTAAAGAGTATGTTTGCTAATACGTTCCTACTACAGAAACAATTTAACTGATTGAAACGCCCTATTAAACAAATTTAATAAAAAATATAATGAAATTAGTATTTGAATCACCGGGTTGTACTTAGTTAAAAAATAACGAATTATGGTTAAAAGTACTACCTATATACATTGAAACATGTATACATTACTGAATAAAAAAAATGAACTACCAGTAATTAAATACTGTCTATATAAAAAACTTTAACGGTTTAAAACATGATATATTAGTTAAACTTATTTGAAAAGTGATTTTTAACTTCCGCCCGACGTTTCGGATGCTTTGCAGCAGCCGTGGTCACGGGGAGACCTCCCCGAAGTTAAAAATCATTTTTCAAGTAAGTTTAACTAATATATCGCGTTTTAAACCGTTAAAGTGTTTTATTTAAATACTAGTAATTAATTTTCTAACAAAAAAATCTCTTTTAACTCCTATTTTTTACTGCAAAGTGGGTATTTTGACGGGCACGTCGGTGTAGTGATAGCAATCAACGGGTCGTGGCTTTGATCCACATTAGGTCCAATATTTTTTTAGGCGTTATAAGTTAAGTGTTCCCAATCACCCCACCTTCCCCTATCTTTCCAATCAATTTATAATTTTTCTGAAATATCCTGTACTTCGTCTGGAAGTCTGGATATTAAATGGTTGGCAGGAATATAGAAATTACCAAAGTCCGGGTCATGGAGCAACCGTCCGCAAGATGAAAAAGCTGCCAAATTTAATAGCGTTATAGTTTAAATAAAACACTTTAACGGTTTAAAACGCGATATATTAGTTAAACTTATTTGAAAATGATTTTTAACTTCGGCCCGACGTTTCGGATGCTTTGCAGCAGCCGTGGTCACGGGGAGACATCATCAGATCATTTTCAAATAAGTGTAACTAATATATCGCGTTTTAAACCGTTAAAGTGTTTTATTTAAATGTGTACTACTCGCGTAAACTATAGACAGCGTTATAGTTTGTCTGTGCATTATTCGATATAAAGCTAAAATAGGCCAACAGCGCACCTTGTTTGGATGCTATTTCACCTACCATCACTTGAACCTCATGCTCTCTCTCTGTTTCCACTTCCAGGTTTTGCTCCGCTAACGGCACGCAACAGTCAGGGCTACCGCGCTTTAACAGTTCCGGAATTGACGACACAGGTAAACAGAAAGCAAAATAATACACAGGCGGGTCTGAAACCCAGCTCTGCCACTAAGATAAAACGTATCACGACTATACCATAAGACCTTCGCTGAACATAATTTACTAAAACGTTTGTCCCATACCCCACTTGTGATCGTTCAGTGTTCATATAAGTTTCTTGCGCATGCGACGCTAAAGGTTCCAAGCCTATAAGATTAACATTCAAGCATTATTCGATCTAAGTGCACTTAGGTTAGTTTCCAATGCGAAGTAAAGGCGTGAAGTTGTATCAAAAATACACATTTATAATATTAATTACGAGCTGTGTCAGCGACTTTATCCGCGTGGAATAGTTATTTTGGACATCATATTAATAACCAACTCTGTCACCCGCGTCCCGGCTTTCTTCTGAGTTAAATTTAAAAGATACACATACAATGACGGGGTCATTTTCATAGCTCATTTAAAGAAAAGGCATTTATTCATACCGTCTTTGCACTGCATGCTTAATTTCCTCGGTTTTTCCACATTTTCAATCGTTTCTTTGCTCCTTTGATATTTTAAAGCCTAAAGCCTTTTTCGATATATCTATCCAAATCTCTAACCAAATATATATATTTTTAATTTTGAGCAGTAGTTCCTGAAATTAGTCCAATTAAACAGACAAACTCGGGAACTTTATAACTTTAATATAGATTATTAAGGTGACTATTTTGTTAAGTTAGCTAGTATGGCGAAAGAATAATTTTTCACATCGTATAGCGTTTAGTTTCTTTTCAATTGATTTTATTTTTAGATGTTCAGTCCAGTAAATATGATGGCTGCGTGTGACCCTCGCCACGGTCGCTACTTAACAGTGGCGGCCATTTTTCGCGGAAGAATGTCCATGAAGGAAGTTGACGAACAAATGCTAGCGATACAAGACAAAAATTCCGGGTATGCACTTACTTGTTGTCCACTACTTTCTAAGTACTATCAAGATATAAGCTACGCACAATAAATTTAAAAATCGATTATAAATTTTAAAAAAAAAGAACTCGAGCACGACTTGAATGGCAACAAGTGCAGTTGCTCTAACCAAGTGTTAAGTTAAATTACATTGCGCGAGAAGTGTATCAATATGTTGGAAAAAATTCGACGATGACCTGTAGGACTCCGTAGCTCAATTGTTTAGAGCAGCACGGAACGCAGTAGATGTTAGTTCAAGTCCTGCTCAAGTCGTATTTTTTTTTCTATTCATAATCGATTTTTAATTTATATGTATAGTGTCATCATGCGCAATAACATGTGAAAAATATTAAAGTTTTTATTATAATAATATACTGTTTTAGTTACTTCGTCGAATGGATTCCAAATAACGTCAAAGTAGCCGTTTGCGACGTACCACCAAGAGGATTAAAGATGGCGGCGACATTCGTCGGAAATTCTACCGCCATTCAAGAGATTTTCAAAAGAATCTCCGAACAATTCACCGTCATGTTTAGAAGAAAGGTACTGATATTATAATGTTTAACAGATTTACTTACGTGCCACTGCATTTTAATTTTTTAGTATGTTTGGAGCCCCATTCAGCTGGTAAGGTTAGGACTGCGGTGAGATTTCTGTAGCCTAGAAACAACTTATCCTGAGAATCTAACCTAGAAACATCCATCAATACGTTACTAAACAAATGAAAATTTATATTGAAAATAAATTACATCCACAGAGTTACGTGTTGCTGCTATAACTATTTACTTTTTTTTATTAAACAGACAACATGAGGTTGATGGATGGAAGAAGAAGTACCTCAGCCATATTTGGTAGAATATCCTGAAATTCACAGACTAAAACTGAAAAGCGACTATACTTCACGGCTTTTTCATGTGTGTACGCCCAATTGAACTACCGTGTTGGTTAGAGTAGCAGCACGGAACGCTTTGGATGCCGGTTCAAGTCCCGCTCGCGTCGTAAACTGTTTTCATTCAAACAGATTTTTCATTTATATAATGCCAACATTTGCTTGTATGACCCGGTGGCGGTAAAACATCTACTGAGAATTCCTGTCCGATTTCTTATACGAGTAAAAAACTTGTAAAAGAAAGAGTCAGTGTAACGGACGTAGTAATATGTCTGCCCCATACATACGACAATTGTGTACACGATGGTTCAAGTTGTCTACTTCTAGGCGTTCCTGCATTGGTACACCGGTGAAGGCATGGATGAAATGGAATTCACTGAAGCAGAGAGCAATATGAACGACCTGATTTCCGAGTACCAACAGTACGAGGTAAAAAGACTCGGTAGATTGAGGCTTACTTTGCAACACCCGAATTCTTTAAATAAAAGACCGACATATTATAAGTTATTGCCTATCAATAATAAAATAATAATAGAAGTCAAATGCCGTTTCCTCCCAGGGGGCAGAACACATTTCTGTGCACGTTTCACAGATCAAAACAATCTATTGTTTTCCCGGGATTCGAACCCAGGACCACTAGCGCTTAACGCAATTGTAGACAACGCGTTTAACAGGGGTATGTACTAATGATCTATTAAAATGGAAAACAATAAATTTAAGACCCAGCCCAATTACCGATGTAAATTAGCTATGACACAAGTTCTTCTCTTTGTTCCACTACTCCGCACCAGTGTATATTTCTCTACTAAAGTAGAAAAATATAAGATACAGTAAGTATACTCTCTGTCAGTAGGTATCTTTGCAGGGTTTACTATAAACTGATAAACCATTACTTCGAGCTTCCTTTTCTAGGAAGTCGGCGTTGATGACGAGTTTGATGAAGAAGAGGTTCAACCGGAAGAGGAATATCCTGAAGAATAGGATAAATTCGGTGCAGAAAAGATGACTGATGAATGATGAGATCTATTTTCAGATATTTAGGGGTAGACAAAATCTTTCCTATACCATTACTAACCTAATTTGTAATCCCCAGCATTTTGGAGTGGAAACGATAAAGATAAAACTATAGTCATTGTACTCATATACTGTAAAAAGATTGGGTTTGGTAAATCTTTCATGTTTTAGAATAAGATAACGGTTACTACACAGCATCTAAGAGTAACTTATTTAAAATAAGTCAGCTGTAGATTAGTAACGAGACTGTTAGAACCAAATATATAACTTTTATTTGTAAATGTTTGAATTCCTGTACATATTATATTTATTGACATAAAAATTATTATTTATATATAATTTAATGTAACATTGATCAGAAGGTAAATGAGTGGAATATTTTGATGTCTTTTATTTTCTTTATTTTTAATTTTTGGGTTTAAGTAGAGTCGGTTATTAGAAAATAATTACTTAGTTGATGTTATTAAAGAAGATATTATGTTCTTAGCGAGATATCTTGATTAGATCTAAGAAACAAGGCGCATCCTATTTATTACTATAAGTATGTAAGTAACTAATGATCCACGATCAAACTAAAAATCTCTAACCCCTGATAAAAAGCGTTAAGTTCAAACTAATATTTTTTCTATGATTTATTAAAACTAAACTTAATTCTATTAATTGGTTTTACTGGTACTTTTTTGACAATTTCATTGCCAAATTTATTATAATTTAAACTTTCATTAATATTAGTTATAGTCTCTTTATCAACAGATGTACAATCTACTATTTCTATGTTATCTTTCATTGATATTCTAAAACCATTTTTATTATTTAAATGTTGATTATCGGTCAATATTGGAGGAACTTCTATAGTACATATTTTATCATTAACATCATTAGGAATGGGTCTAGTATCATAAACATCATTACTAAAATGGATCTTATTATCCGGAGTCAAGGATTGATCCTTATCCAGTTTTGGAGGTTTAAATCTCTTACTTCCATCATTCTTTTTCTTCCGTTTTTTAGCATTATTGAAGCAAATAACATTCTGTTCACCCATATTCACTTTTATAGTAGTTTCTTTAGTAATCTTGTCAGCCTCAATATCTTTACTTTTAATTGTGACATCCTTTTGTAAGTTTCTAAGCCGAAATACAACATCATTTTGACGTTGGAATATTTTGGATCTTGTTTCTTCGACACTTTCTAATTCTGGAGCATAACATACATGTAAAACGCCACCATAGAAATTTTTGGTATCTAGCATTCGTTTGGCAAGTCTTGCAGGCTGAATTTTGTCATATTGAGCGTGATATGTCTCTGTAAATTCATCAGCAGCGTGAGTAGTTGATACATTGAATTGAACAAGCTTTCCGAACTTTAGAAATAGGGCTTTAAGTTCTTGTCGGAGGCTGAGAGATGGAGTCCCAAATATCAGGAGGTGATTTGATTCTTTTGTTATAGAATATGCCTGCAAAACAATAAATTGGGTCAAAATTTAAGGAGTTTATTCTAAATAGATGTGCAGTGATGTTGTTATACCTCTTAACTTTACTACTTAAAAGCTTACTCTTACCTTAACCGCAGTAAGTTTTCTGCCTTGCCTGTAAGGCGGGCGGTTTGTACATAAACTTTGTTGTTGGTGGTGAGACAAGAGAACTTTTTCACTATCATCTTGCTTATTATCACTCATAGCTTATATTATGTTAAAATAGAAAATATTGATAATATCGCTAAATATGTTTATAAGGATTTGTCATTGTCAGCTGTCACAATAATATAAAATCAACTGTCTATGTACCACAGACTACGCTTAGTCTCATTTAGTCACACATAATACAGTAAAACAACAACAAAAATTATTTTTTTTAGTGGCATTTTAAAAACGTAACAAAAAAAAAAAAAAATTTTTTGATTTAGACAATATCAATAATATTTATCAAGGTCTTATTACATCGTCTGAAGTATGTTGGTAATATCGCCGCCTTATCGAATATGACGTCGCTTTCACAACAATTATTTTGAGACAAACCGGATGAAAACTATTTTATGACTCGAAGAATTAAGTATATTTTATACGATTGCTGTTCTGTTCTACGATAAAAACCGCTTTGTATGGATTATTGTTACGTCTCTTACATTAGTTACAAAATTTGTGATCGAAGACTGCTCGTTTCTCCTAATTAAAAATATTAAATAAAATGGAAACAAGTTTCGTTTAAATTTGCTCCGTCCATTACATAAAATTGATCAGTCTGTGGAACTAAGTTTTGTATTTTTATTATGGCGTTTAATTATTAACCACTGCTGCATCAATCCGAATTGAAGAAGCTTTTGTAAACTAGTAAGCATACTCTATTTCAATATTCGTCATAATTTTGGAAATAAAAGTAACTATTTTTAGCAACAGTATATATTTAAAGCTTAGTCTCATTTGCTTTTAATTACAATACATATAAAACAAGTCTTAAATTTTAGATAAAAATACATTTAATGTTATATTTTTATTATCATTTAGGTTATATATAACATAATAAATATTAATTCAAGCTGTTGTGCAAAGATGGCAGTAAGACACAAACTGCCTTTACACAGTTTGTATCGAAGAATAAATGGAACCACAGAATAATTAAGTCACAGAGTAATTATGAAATAACATTCAAACTGCTTATTCTTTCTGTGACACCATACAATCTCTTGAACTACTAAATGTGTGTGGAAAAATCAGAGATATTGGATTAAGTGGCCTATCTGTGGTTGTTGATTGACTTGAGTGGCCCTAATGACCTATTTTATACTTACTGTATGTTTATTTATAACATTTATAAAAATATATATATATGTATGTATTTATTGAAAATCGTGGGTGTTAAAACGCTTTTCATGGCGTATCTTGTTCATAGCCTTCCGTCTTCATGTCATTTAAACCTAGTTCTTCATTTTGTTCAAACGAACGCTCATAATGGGTGACTTTGACACCTAAAATTTATATATCATAGTGAGTTACGAGTTAAAGTAAAAAAAATTGAAAGATGAAATAGGGTATTTTTTGAAAGATTTTAGGCAAGTTTCATTTACAAATACTTGACTTGCTTAATTTTGTATTTTTGTAGGATCTATAACTCACCATCGTCATATACTTTGGGGTCATCGCTCAAATTCTGCACATATGAATTTCCAGCCGGGTCGTCCAAAATTAATGTAATAGCTCGTTTTCCCTCTAAAACTTCTTCTAATTTCTCTATGAATCTAAAAAATAATGGTTGCTATAATGATATATATAGGACATCTCTATAACAAAGCTAAGAGTTAATTAGTATTAAATGACATAAATACAATTCGCACATATTGCAATTATATAATACGGCCGACGTAACTTGGCAAGTCTGAACATAGGTTAAACGAACTTTGGCGCATGTACATTCGTAAAGAAAATGAATACTGCTACTTATTTTCGTTACTGTGATGAATGAAAGATTTTACCTATAGCAAGCAAAAGTAACATACCAATAATTGATTCAAAGAGAATAAGGGCTACGAATTTTTCACAAAACAAAAATATAACAAAAGATAAATAATAGTATTAAATTTAACAATACACAATCACTTTTCTAACGGACTGAAGACAGAGATAACGAAATAAACGCCAAGGAGTGACCGAGACACACTACTGTTTACCGAACATTACCGAATATGTACGAAGATTTACGAAATAACCTAATCGAGATGTCAATACTCGTTCCTTGGCAGTATCGTTTAATCGATTCCTATTGAAATAGACAAACTTGGATCGTTGAAATATATTTGTAAAAAAAGCTTCAAAGAAGGTAAAAGTAAAAATAGTAATTATATAAATAATAACTCATATTTAACTAAATCACGTCGTTCAATAAAGAAAAACAAGCTTTTAATGGTTTTATTTTCCTTTAAAAGTAATTATGGTATCATTTATTAATAACACCATTCACGGTGCGCATAAATCCATTTACTAGAATATTCCATACGATTAAAAATTAATAATCAAAATCGATAAAAATTAATTCCGAAATTTTTAATTTTACGAAGTCGACGAGCGATTTGAATCATATTAGAACAGTATTGTTATAGTTTTAATACATACTTTTTCAACGTCCCCTTGGAATCGAGCGGCGCGTCACCATGCAGCGCTGGCGCATCTGCCAACTGTTCTATACACCCCCGAATCACCCCCTCGGCCGTCGTGAATCTCCCCCCCAACGCTCTACCCCCCACTTCAACCTCCAACTCTGGAATGCTCATACTACACGTTTCCGACTGTTAAAAGGACATACGTATAAGGCAGGTGTCTGGTGGTCTATAGCTCCTAATAGACCTATCTTAAATAACTTAATTTTAACTAAATTTCATATGTGTAAAGCTTGTAGCTTAAATCTGTAAATGTGCTTAAAATTTTTGAGCATTGTAGAGTATATAAATCTTTCCTCTTTTACAATATACAAGTCTTACAACCCAAATAATAAAATATTTCAAGAATTTAGCAATTTGATACGTGAAGTTTAATAGTGGACTAAATTATGACTATTTAACTATATAATATATTAAATACTAACTTTTAAAATATCCCTAGAGAAGTCTTCTTTGCCGGCTATTCTGACTTCGAATCTTACTCCCTTCTCCTCTATACCACCACCGGACTTCACCTAAGAGATAAATAATTATGCTATACATTGTTCTTGTTTAATACGATGTAATTTTTGCATTTTTCTTTTATTCTACTTCAAACACAGATGAAAATCGTTACAAAGTAATAAAATAGCAACAGCAATTATTTTTGATATACAGGGTGGTACATTGGAGCAAATCGGAAGCTAGTAAGCTATATAAAACATCTAACATGGCTATTGAGCTATAACAATAAAATATAATCTTAATTGATTAAAATTAAATATTTTTAATCTATATATTTGTATAATGATAAAGTAACAAAACCTTTGCCAACCAAAATCAGCACATCATACTAAAAGCTAAATTCGTTCAAAATAAATACCTCATTTAACCAATTCGACCATTCGTCCCCACCCTGTATATGATTTTTTTTTTAAGTCGTTAGTAATACAACATAATTATAGGCACAAGTGTTATTAATATATGTTTTTACACACCTTGTTATTTTCAAGAATTAAATTAACAAAGGTCATTTCATTTTCACATAACCTGTCATATAATGAGTTATGGCAACACTTAATATAGATAAAAAAAAACGTTACTAGCGACGTAATTCCGCTTTTTACAATGAATCGATTTACGAACCTCATTTGTACGATGGCCGCATGCGTCGCAAACCGTAGCCATGATGACGACCTCTTTGAAGTGGGGTATTTCTGAAAAAAAAAACAAATAAAACTACGTTGACAGTTAAAAAAGAATAAATATTATTTTTCACATGCACATTGCATGAAACGTTGGGCATTAGCTTAAGTAATATATTTTGTGTTTTAAACCGTTAAAATATTTTATTTAGACATTGTATAAATTAAAAAATCTTTTTATATTGAAATTATATTTCGTGAAGGTTTCAGGTATTAATGAAATAAGACATTTAATAATAAAGTTTGAGACACAATGGCTCAATTGATTAGAGCGGCAGCATGGGCCCTGTGGATGCTTGTTTAAGTCTTTCATTCTTCTTTGCATTCTTTTTTCATCTAAATAGATTTTTATTTTAATGAAAACTGCAAAATCATATAAAAATTATGATATAAGGTTGCACTTACTAGTAATCTTCATATTGGTATCTGCTGGCGCGTTGCAGTCCGGACAGTTGGTAGAGAACTGGAGAACCTCATCAGCCGCAAGACGTTCGTAGCAGCCCTGACTGGGATCGGCGGGTGTTATGGCACCCGGGAGACCGGGCTTTGAATCGCCGTTGGTGACCTGGTTGTAAAAAATTACTTTCGAGCTAGTTTTGACGTTTTGAGATCTTATAAAGCTATTTTACAACAGACGAGGAGGTTAAGCCACCTCGTGTGTAATTAAGAATATTTGGTCCTTCGAGTCAGATAACAAAATAGACTGTGACTAAGCCTGGTCTAATTCTTCCGCTTAAGTTTTCTATCAACTATCTATCTATAATGTTTGTCTATTAATAAGGGGTTGTCCATTAATCACGAGATCTTTTTTTTTTTATATTTTTAAACCCCCCCCCTCCCCCATTGGTGATACGTAGTGAGGTTTAAGGCAACCCCCCCTCCCCCTTCTAAACATCACGTGTATTTTTAGTACCGTCAAAGAATCTTAAAATTTTCTGAATATTATCTTAATTTAAATACAGGTATAAAGTATAATCTTATTTTATTCTGAAATTAAAGACCATAATAAAAATGTCTACACCATTTGTTTAAAAATCGCGCGTTTGACGAAAAAATAAATACACGCGATATCTTACTACAAAAAACCCCCAACCCCCTTTTGTTATTTTCGTGATTTTTTAAAAACCCCTCCCCCCCTTTCAAGCCTCACGTGATTAATGGACAACCCCTAAGCTCCTCTATTAAAATTCTCAATCAACAACAATCTTACTGGTAGGTTTACTGCGCTCCTTCGCTGCGTGAAACAAAACATATTTATTTCGTTGTTTCATATATTTCAAAGAGATATTTTTGTATTATTATTACCATTGATTATTAGTATACACCTACATATACCTTTTTAATCGTAAACTTTAAATTATTAACAGCCTTAAAGCATATTAATTTATCAAATTCATTACTTAACATTTCATTCAACATGTAAAGGTTATGGGTTTAAGGTCGAGGAAATAATTATACATTCAGTCAGGCCCGCCACAATCTGATCAAATATCTCCGTGAAATGTGACCAGTCCTGATGATCAATCCGTGGAATAGACACAGAAATTAGACACATTTCTGTATCCTACAAATAGAAGATACGGCATTTTTCTTACTACTCGCATAAAATACAGATACAGCATAACTATTAATAACTACCTCCTCCCTTGTGAATATTCCGAGTGAATGATCTTGTTCTTTGCTCCTCTTGAAATCCGTTCTCTCACTGCGCTGATCTTTTTTAGGAGCTTCAGGATTTTCAATGAATGTGTTGCCTGTAATAAATGAAATAAAATTTATTTTATTGTTGTCAGCACTGTTCTCGTTTAAACAAGAGTGCTATTGGTGTTATTCACATTGAAAATTATTGTACTTTGTGCATAGTACTATTATTTTCAATTTCCAACGTTAATTTGCAGCGACAATTCAGACACGTTATTTCCTTAAAATTTTGATTCACTTCAGTGTCATTTAATACCACTGAGTGTTATCCAAACTATTAAAGCGCCCAGTGGCAAGGCGCTTTGGTCATCGTTCGGATAAATGTCGAAAAAATCATTATGCAACATCGACCCAGAAACAACGAAAGGGACTAAACATTAATTAGGTTTTCGTATTTTAAATCTTTTGTGATTGGCTAAGAAGAATTAGGGGTGGACATAAATTTTACAAAGTGGTAAAAGACTTATTTGGCTGATTGTACGTTAGCAGTAAAAAAACATGCTCTCAGTTGCAAAATAGATATTTATATTGCATAAAACATAAGTAATTTGTCATATGTGTTTAGTCAGCAACAAAAAATATATTTTTTTTCATTTTAAACCGAACTATTAATAATTATATTACTTATTACCACTAATATCCTCCAACTCTAGATGCCATGGCTTATGAAGGGTTTTGAGAGCTTGAAGCTTCTCCACAAATGCCTCAATTTGCACAGCTGCTTCTGGATGCTGCAACCTCCTTGTGTCTTGGTCTTGTGTTAATCCCGCAACAGCTCGAGCCAATATACCCTCTACTGTTGTCACTTCTGCAAATAGAAATAAAAAGTAAATCCTGCTTTCCATATGGGAGGTTTGGGCTAGATGAATTGGTGTAACCATTTTTTTCATTCTACTACCACTTGTTTAAGAATGTTCATTTCAGGCTACAAGGAAAGAACACACTAATCTACGCAAGGACTGGATCGAATTTAAAAAAAATTAAAAAAAAAAATAAATAAATTTTTTGTTGTTTAGAGCATTTATCCAGAAACAGAACAGAAAAACAGAGATTTTTTGTAATTTTTAAAGGTTTCAGTTGAGTGCGGAAATGGTTTAACATGAATAAAATGTATAAAAGACTGTTTCCTGTTTAAATGATCTAAAAAAATGTCTACAGCAGTATATGCTTATTTATTAAGATTAACTTGCAAGAATACGGGACGCTGACGACGTCGTTGGTAACTGTTACAATTTATAAACATAAGGAGTTTTTACTCAGACGAAGTCGCGGGTATATTCCTTACCTCCTTTCTGACTTTGTGAAGGTATCTCAAATTCTATTTCAGGAATGTATACTCTTGTATAATCACTTTTGACAACTTGTCTATTCAAATCCCTTGGTTCTTCCACACGGAGCTTCCACCTATATAATATTTAAGTATGTTTATTGGTTAACCAAGTTATAATTATCTTATTAATGTTAAATGTAAATAACATTTGAAATTAATGAGTTTTTATCATATAAATGCAGAGTTTATATGATAAAAACTCTTTAGTCTAGAGATTTAATAGATTTTTATGGAGCTTAACAGTTTATTTAATTCATTATACATTACAAACAGGGTATAACTCAGATTAAGCATCCTTAAGAAGTTGTACAGCACTACATTGCCACACATATGAGCAGAAAACAAAATTAAAACAGGTAGAAATAAAAAAAAATACATCTTTATCTATGATAACCAGAATGCAATTCGTATAAATTGTAATTACCTGACGCCCAACTCGGCAAAAGCGCCTCCTGGTTGTATTTCATTATTCTCAAAACCACATTCTTCACACGAAAAGGACATTAAGACGACATTCTTGTAATGGGGGATTCGTGTAAGTAATAATCTTGTCATGCCCTAAAAGAAAAAAAAGGGGGATTGACCTGTAGACTTTTAGAATGCAATTTAAAAAAATAAATATAAAAATTTACGACGTACTTGATAGCATATGTATCATTATTTTCATAAGTTTTAAATATATAATGAGGGCAATACTTCATCATGTAAAATATTAGTAGAAATTTAATGTGTTGAAATTTTTTCGCAAGGTAATCATTACAGCGTAGTTTTTTAGGTTAAACACCGACGCAACAATATATAAAACTATATCAATTCTCCTTCTTACAGCATCTGCGACTTCCTAATAGTACCTAACTAGTATTGTTTTTATATCTGTACTTATAAAAAATAAGTAACAACACGTAAATGTATGTGAAATAAAACTTCTCCCAGAACTATCCTTAATTACTTACATTTGACTGACAATTCATGCACAGGGATTCAATCTCGGTCACCTCGGGCTCCGGGTCTTCAGCCGTGAGGTCCCTGAACAAAGGTTTTTGCTCCGTAGTGCACATTTCTGTAAAAAAATAATAAAATCCGCGATGCTATCACAAGTTCACAACACGATGCATGAATTTCTAGAATATTAAACGTCACAAATTAGAAGTATGACAACTGACATTTGCTAGATTTTAAGTAATCTGTCAACGTCTGTTTGGGAGTGTTGCAATGTATATTTCATTCTTTTAGATTTGACAAAAATATTGCAGAAAAATGGTTGCCTGCGATGATATTAGGATGCCAGATATTTCTATAAAATTAAATCCTTTGAATTCAATGAGTTTCAGAGAATGATTTAAATCTATGGAAATATTTTAAGGTTGTATTTCTATTTCTCTAATTGAGCGATGCTATGCTATATTGGTGCAAAAAGGGCTTTCTCGAGACCTCTTTTCACTGCAACCAATAGAAACAGCGATCTTGCGATGGATATTTTCAAAAGGTTTCGCACGAAAATTGATACGGAAACTACAATAGTACATGGTATCGTAATCGTATATCTTTGAAGTATATTTTAAAATACTAAACTATATTCTGATAAATTTGTGGTTTAGAGCGGTGACATCATTAAAGCAATGTCCTATAGTATTAAAGCAGGTATGCTTGGACATGCGTAAGATAATATCTATCGCAGTGTAGGTAACTTAAATAATTAGTGACGTAAGTTGAATCTCTAGTATGGGTACTAAGACAACACGTTAGTTTTAAATAATAAGAGTTAAGGAGGGGCTCGCTTAAAAAGTTTAAAGGGATTATATTGTTAAGGTCTGAATGCACTAGCTGAGCCCGCAATACCCCTTAAAATAAAAGAGTAAGGACCTAAATAAATGATTCGCGATAGAGTACATAGCAGCCGTGAATTCGTACGACACGCAATACCTCACAAATACTTTAATTCAAAACTAGTGATGTCATTATTAAGAAATAAACTATAACCTTGCTTTAACGTCATCTTTTATTTTAAAACAACAAGCGACCGATTTAAGAAGGCCACGTGTAGTAAGTGAATAAAACGACGTGTGGTACCTTTCATATTAATCGGGCTACATACTTGCGTTTGAATTTTTAGTATTCAACGTGAGGTGATACGAAGTTTTGTGATAATAGTGTTATAGTTTATTAAATCGTAAGTAAATTAAACGTTTAGAATTTGACCTCAGAAAAATATCTTTAAAGATAGTTTTTAATGCGGAAGTATTTTAATTGAAATATGTACC